TTTATACTGAGTACAATATTGTATAACTGTATTAATTCAACTGTAAACCTAAAAATTTACAGCCAATCTTGAAACAGATGCATCTTACCTCTGGAAATTGTTATTGAATATATCAATGCTGTTGTCATGAAATGCTTCTTCTAGTTATATGGTTATTAAATAAATAATTTTAAAAAACTGAAAGAAAGTAAACACAATAATCCTCCTCAAATAATTCCATAAAATATAAAAGGAAGAAATACTTCCCAGTTCATTTTTGAAGCTTCAAAACCAGATAAAGACACAACAACAACAAAGAAAATTACAGACCCATTTCCCTGACAGATATAGATGCAAAAATTCTCAATAAAATATTTTTCACTAAAATTGAAGAACATGTTGAAAATATTATTCACTATGATCAAGTTAGCTTCATTTCAGAGACATGGGGTTGGTCCAACATATGTAATTCAATAAGCTCATTGTATCACATAAATGGACTGAAGGACAGAAAACCTAGAGTCATGTCAAGAGATGTAGAAAAGGCCACTGACAAAAATCAAACATGCCTTCTTGATAAAAGACCTGAAGAGACTAGAAATGAAGGGAACATATCTCAATATAATAAAATCTATAGCTAGGCTCATGTTAAACAGAGAAAACTCAAAGCATTTCTACTAAGATCAGGACCAACACAAGGGTGTCCACTCTCTTCACTCTTATTTGAAATAGTGCTAGAAGTCTTAGCTAGAACAGTAAGACAAGCAAAGAAATAATAAAAATAATAGTCAAAGAATCCTTATTTGCAGATATGAGACCATAAAAATTCCATCAGAAACACCTAGATCTGATAAACACTTTCAGAAAAGTGGTAGGATATAAAGTTAGCCTACAAAAGTCAGGTGCCTTCCTATGATAAGTACACTGAGTAAGAAATCAGAGAATCAATCTCATTCACAATTGTCTCAAAAAATACTTCTGAATAAACCTCATGATCCTGCCCCCAAAAGCAACTCCAAGAGGAACAAAGACCTTAATGCAAGATCTGAAACTCTAGAGGAAAAAATAGGCAATGTACTTCAAAATGCAGTCATAGGAAAGGGCTTTCTGAATTAGGACTGCAGTTGCTCAGGAAATAAGGCAAACAGTTAACCAATGAGATCTAATTAAGTTAAAAATCCTTTCTATAGCAAAGGAAACCATTAATCAAGTGAAGAGACAGCCTGAAGAATGGCAGCAAATCTCTGCATGCTGTACATCTGACAGATTAATACCTAGAATTATTCTCAGTCATGAAGAAGACTGAAGTTATTCCATTTACAGGAAAATGGAAACAACTGGGTTTAATCATATTAAGTGAATTAAGCCAATTGAAGAAAAGCATGCTGTCTCTCATTTGTGGTTCCTAGACTTTGTATAGATGCATGAGAATCACACACACATATGTATATATGGCATGAAAGAAATAAGGGGGACAAATGGGAGGGGAAAAGGTTGAAAAAAGAGAGAGTGGGGAGGTATGGGGGGTATCTTGAACATATGGTGTATACTTGTATGAAAGATTAAAAAATTGAATTAAATTAAAAAATTGCAGTCAATCAATCAACCAAGGAAAGTTTACATCACTGATAAACAAATGGAAGTTCCAATATATATGCCTTTTGAAATTGTTTTTTATTTGTTAGCTATCCAATATTCATGTTGGAACTGTATTTGTTCATAGACCGCAGGTACAGGTTGGTTAAGAATATAAATGTTGAACAAAAACCAAGGTAAGCATCCTGTGAGAATGGCCATAGGAGTTTAATAATAATTTAAAAACTGACTGTTTCATTATTATTTATGAAACTTCATGCTAGTAAAACATACTAAATATAAGATATGTATGTATATATGTACACACAGACACTATGAAGGGCCAGTTGAACATCAACATACCACTATATAAATTTTTCTGCTCTGTTTTCTGTTGCATCTGTGTATCTGTGTGTGTGTTTTGCTTTGTTTTAAAGTATTCATGGTAAAAACATAATCTTATTAAAAGTCCATTTTAGAGTATTACTAAAGCAATCAAAAGATGAATTCCAAAAGCTAGTAAAGGGCTGCTGAGGAAAAATCATATTAGTGTTCAAATAACGCTCTGTGTGGAGCTATCAGAGAGAGAGAAGGCTTTTCCTTTACCAGGAGGTAAGAAAATTGCCACATTCAGAGTGCAAAGTTTTGTGCGCACAGGGTAAAGAACTCTGATTGGGTTTCTTCCTTCTTCTTCTGGCCATGTGAGGGTCCAGACAAAGAAGTCAGAAGGCCTAATTAAAGTAGCATATAGAAAGGCAACAAACCCAGTAGCTTATATGTAGGAACCATTTGTCTGTACCTATGAGGGAGTAAAACATGAAAATAAGCTGTGGAGACTTTTTATTCCAAGTTAGCAAGAAGCTCTGATTCCAGTGATTTCTTAAAGGATCTGCTTCAGAAGAGATTTAGTAGTGATAGGGAAACAAACCTAAACAAATTTGTAATAAGACATTGATTAGGTGTCACAGTGAATACACATATGAATTAGTGAAAAACAAACCTGTGTGTTTCCTTAGAAATCTGATTTCTAAGAATATCTGCCACTGCTTGTTATTATTTATTTTTAAAAAGACCTCTAGACTCTGTGGCTAGGCAGATCACAGGTCATAAGAGAGAACCTACTACTATTATCCTGATAAATGGGCATAGTATTAAACTAACTCCTAATGACTTACTGTTATACCCACAGATTAGTGTGTCTTTCAGCTCTCACCAGAGAAGCTTCTTCTTATAGCAGATAGTGATTAACACAGAGACCCACAGCTAGTCAACATGCAGAGAATAAGAGACAGCAGAATGCTCAGCCCTAAATGGGACACCAATATTACACCTTCTCTTCCCAAGTCTCAGGGGTCTAGAAAGATTGTAAGAGCCAGAGGTGGTGGGTGAATATAAGGAAACTATGTTAAGACACCACAGGGCAGTTATACATATGAACCAATATAGCACTTGTGATGGCATACTCAAGGCCTGTACAAGCCCAAGATAGACTGGGTTTTTACTCAGCAATGGTGTGGAAGTGGGCAAGAAGCCCCAGCCCTAGTGAGGAACTATTGGCAATTGATAGCTGCTGAGAGAGAGAGAGAGAGAGAGAGAGAGAGAGAGAGAGAGAGAGAGAGAGAGAGAGAGAGAGAGTCAGTTTTCTTTAAGAGTGCAATGCAGAGTAGTTGACCAGGCTCCAGGGGATGGACCCACACTCAAAAGCCATACTGGAAACATCACAACAAAAACAATATTTGTATATTTTCAAAAAGAAAGAACTTATTTTTGGTGGGTGTTGATGTAGGCATACTTGTGAAGACTAGAATCCCATTTCATTTTCTCAGCAGGGACAGAGATGTTACCTGCACAGAGCTGTTGGGCAGAGAAAGTCAGTCAAGGCTGATAGACTGCCATCCTCCCAAGTTGAGAGAAGGGAAGTCACTGGCCATCTATTTCAGAATCCAGGCTCCCCTATTCTCAGACTGTAGAATGGTGGAATAGGAAGTGGAATACTCCAGAAAGAATGTGGAACACAGATTCCTGGGCTTTATCATTAAGGATTGGGACTCAGACCTGAGTATCTGTGTTTCCAAAAAGCTCCTATATAATGCTAATGCTGCCAGTCTATATAGACTGCACTTTGGACAACATTGCATAACATGTTGTGGCAATTATGCAATGATGACAACAAATAGTTTGAATATTTTACCTTTAAAAAGAACTTTGCATTAATTCCCAGAAAATTCAAATTAAAGTTAATATGAGATATCATTATTCACTCAGCAAAATGACCAAAATAGAAAACAACACCACCAAATGCTGATAAGGATGTGGAGGAGCTGGATCATTTGCACATTCCTGGAAGGAATGGAAAATATGGAACAGTTTAGCAGTTTCTTTTAAAGATGAAAACAGGGCTGGAGAGATGGCTCGGTGATTAAGAGCACTGGCTGCTCTTGCAGAGGACTGGGTTTGAAATCCAGCACCCATATGGCAGCTAACAACTATCCATAACTCCAGTTCCAGGGGATCTGATACCTTCTTCTTCTGACCTTCACATGCACCGCACAACTTACATACATGCAGGCAATATACTCATACACATAAAATAAAATGAATAAAAAGAAAATATTAAACTGAAAATGGACTTACCCTCTGATTTCATTCTTGGGCGTTTACCACAGAGAACTGAAAATTTATCACATTTAGAAACTTATACATTAGCATTCATAGCACATTGACTGTTACCAATCAACAACTACGATATTCTTCAATAGGTGAACGGTTACATGAACTACCACATCTACAACACAGAGTACTATCCAACAATCAAGAAACACAAATTATTGACCCTGCAATAGTTTAGGTAAACCACAAGGAAAGAGTGCTAAGTGAAGAAAAAAAAACCAATCTCAAATCTCCACAGGAAAAGTAAAAATCAAGCCCTTTATCTTCCCATAACTTACGATAGATGTTCAAGAAGTAGAGCTTTGTGATGGTGTGACTGGCGCTTTCTATATTTATGTCTGCTTTGTAGGTTCCTGCATCTTCCATCCTCAGGTCTTTAATCACAAGGTTATAGTTCTGATTGACAACTTTTATTCGTCCTTCATAATTCTTTTGAGTTACAACAACTTTAGGTGGTGCTCCCGAGACTCCCGGTATCACAAAAGCAACAGATGATTTAGAAATCCAGGCAATGTTCTTAACTTGCTGTGATTCTTGTATATTTAAAGGGAAAGTGACAGACTCCCCAAGAATCCCATCCATCTCCAGCAAATCTGCGTCACTTCCAGCTGCTTTATGCCCTGAGGATATAAACGGAGAACCATAACCATCTCACTGGCACACCATTTCAAGTTCCTGGCCTTCCTTGAATCTCCCTGAGGTGTTTCCATGGATACTACTCATCCAGCATCTTGAGAATGTTTTCTTTTTTTCATTCTACACTAGGTATGTTAATATGCCATGACAACTAAATTTTCCAGGGATCTGTTGTATTAAAACATGCTTGCCTATATATCTGAAGACTAGAAGGTATTCAAAGGATGAGGACCACAAGCCTCCAGGAAGTCCAAGATAGCAAGTGTGTTCTTTGTCTGATCACACTGCCAACTAGAGGAAGAGCTTGGGAGAAGGGCCTGGAGTATCTGGGCTGATAAGACTCTTAAGGGTTCACTGTTCTCTTGTCTTTTATGGTCTTTGAGAAATACGCTTGCTTTTATTCTTGGAAGATAGAGAATCCTTTTGAGGCTCTGGAGAAATTATCCCCCAAGTTGATGATTTGGGGGGAATCTTTTTGTTCATTTCTGTCTCCCTAACCTCTAGAAAATACTTGATACACAATGGATACTTAATTATTTGTGGAGTAAGTTAAACATTGGCATTCACTCTTGTGATGTACAGACTCTTTTGAAGCAACTTCTGTAACTGGCTAAGTTCATCAATCATTAATTTATGCATAAACACATGCATTTATTCAGGGACTGTTTTGTTCCAGATACTATGGCAGGTATTTATTCATTTAATTAACTAATTAACTTAAAATTATGATACAAGACAGCATGAGCAAAAGCTCATTTCTTCAGTCATTCATTTATGCATAAACAAGTGTATTTATTCAGGGATCATTTTTTCCATACACTATGCCAGGTATTTATTCAATTAACTAATTAATTTTAAAATGGTACTACAAGGCAGTATGAGTATAAACATAATTTCTACTGAACTTTCCATGATAATAATATTAACCCAGATAACCACACAGGGAAAGGAATAGATACAAAATATGTAACTTCTATGTGCTTTGAAAAAGAACTTGATCTTGCTAGAGGACTTGATCCTCTTGAGAATCCAGGGACTATTTCCTTTTTAAAATATTTTATTTATTTTTTTATTTTTTGTTTGTATGAATGTATTGCCTGCATGTATGTAAGTGCACCCATGTCAGGAAATGCCCATGGAGGTCAGAAGAAGGTATCAGATCCCCTGGAACTGGACTTACAGATGGTTGGTAGCTGCCATGTGGGTACTGGGAACCAAACCCAGGTACTCTGCAAGAGCAGCCAGTGTAGTGTGCTTAACCATTGAGCCATCTCTCCAGCCCCAGTAGGGAATATTTTCTAGTAAAAGTTGAAGGACAACCACTCTTAAAATGTAACATGGTAGCCAGGCATGGTGGCATATACTTTAATCCCAGCACTTAGGAGGCAGAGGCAAGCGAATCTTTGTGAGATCCAGGCCAGCTTGGTCTGTATAGTGAGTGGACCAGGCCACCCAGAGCTACAGGGAGACCCTCTCTCAAAAATACAAAATAAAAAACATAACATGGCCCTCACCTCCCTCTGCTCCCCTGGGCCTGCACAACCCGCAGGCCTCTCTCCACCCCCGCACCTTGACTCCCCCAGCCTCATTCACCCTCCCATCTCCCCAGCTCATCTCTCCTCCTAGCCTGGGACCTGTCCAATTCCTTGTCTTGGCACCCCACACATGGCGGAACCACCACTGCTTCCTGATCCTTTGCATCCAGACCAACCCAGTTCCTTCTGGGGTCCCCAAGGAGCCCTCTGGGCCTGGCCCCGCCCTCACCTCTTTCTGCTTCCCTGGTCTGCACAACCCACCAGCCTCTTTCTTGGAAACAGGCACTGACCTTTTGGCTTCCTGATCCTTTGCATCCAGATCAACCCAGTTCCTCAGTGCAGTCCCCAGGAGCTCTTGGGGTCCCTTCCCACCTCCATCTCCCTTTGAATCTCTGGGTGGCACAGCCACCAGCTGCCCTAAATCAACATATTTCCTGGGCCTTGCTGCCAGGCCACTCTAACCCCCAAATTCCTGAGGCCAACATCTTTCCTGGAGGGACCCAGACCTTAGGAGAAAGCCTGGTACCATCTGAGCCTGATCTGACTTAGGTCTCTGTGGGAACTCCTGAAGACAAAAGCAATCTGGCCACTCCAATATAAAATCAAAAGAGAGAACCAGAAGCTTAGAGGAACCAGCTTTTCATGCCCAAAAAGTAAGCCACAAAGACACATAAAGTTTACAAAAAGAAGCAGACCTAAACTTGAAGGTTTGAGTCTCACACAAGAATCAGAAACTACAAAAGAAATTCACATGTGGAAATCACAGAGAAAAAATAATAACATGAGGCTGAGCATGGTGGGGCACGACTTTAATCCCAGCACTCAGGAGGCAGAGACAGGCAGATCTCTGTGAGTTC